TTATTTGAGTGGATCACTGTCAAGAATAGAAGTGATTATATGTTTAAGTCAACAGCCAGGTGACTTGTAACATTTGCTATTTAATTTTGTTTTCCCCTTGTTTTATTATTAATTCCTATTTCTAGATTCCATCCTCACTGTGTCTCCATCATGGCTGAATCCCGGAGCCTCAGTGACTCTGAGCTGTGAGGTTGAATATGGATCTACAGGATGGAGGTTCTACTGGTATAAAGTTGTTCCTGATTTATCACCGAATTACTACAGATATGATCCACTGCCTGGTAGCATCAATGGGACCGTAGAGAACTCCTTCATCATTCATGGACAGAAACACACAGCAGGATTTGCATGTAGAGCTAAAGGAGGAAACCCAAAGGATTTCACTGAATTCAGTGAACCAAAGTTCATCTGGTCTGCAGGTCAGTTCTGTTCTTGTTCCATCGTTGTTCATGTGTTCAGCTACTTTATCCATCCATGATTATTATCAATCTTTGAAGTCGGGTCTCAAAGATCAAATGCTCACAGTGTCCTCTTCAGAGATATTTCAGATTTATTAAAAACAAAATTGTAAATAAACACCATGCATAATCAAACTTGTATGTGATTTAATTTTATCTGCTGTAACACAGCAGATTTTGGTGGTTTTATGTTTCTCTCTGTGTTCATCGATTGGTTTTATTTCTGTTCCTCTTTTACTTTGTTCAGTCGTTTTCTAGCTCACTTTTGTTTAACCCTTCTTGATCGTTCAAGTTCATTATTTGATGTTACTTCTTTTGGTTAGACCCGTCTCGTTCCAGTCTTCCTGTATGTCAGTCCCTTGTAGCATTTCTAGTTATGTTTACTTCTCTCTTTTTTTCTTACTTTAGATCTCATGATTCTTTAGTGTCGTATTTATTTCCTGTTCCTCTGTTTTCTCTCTCTCTCTGTATAATCTTCCCTGTGCAACTCTCTCTCCCCCACAATCTACCTTAACTCTCTCCAACTACACACACCTGTTATCAATTAGTTCATCAGCCCTGGTCTATTGTTCTCTCTCTTCCTCTGAGTATTTAGCCTGTTTGTTTCAGCCACTCATTGCGTCATCTTACTTTTTCTCCAGTTGGATTATTTGGATTTTTGTTCCCTACATTTTGTATCTTCTAGTAAGTTGGATTTTTCATTTATTAAATAATCAACTCAACAACACCTTCTGCCTGCTGCTTGTGGATCCACTTCAACACCTCAACATGGCAGTTTCCTTTTTTTTCCACAGTCTAAGCCAAACAAACAAACCAAACAAAAACATTGCCTCATATAATTTAAGATCACATTTGTAAAAAGATGCAAACAAACAGCTGTGGAGGAAAGACAAGTTTTAAAAATGATAACTAAGTAGTTAAAAGATGAATCAGAACGACACAGACAGACCAAAAGTTACTATTCCTTTAATTAGACTATTCACATTTAAGTCATACATGCAACAATAATTCTATGTTTAAAAGACAAAGTGGAAGGAAAGGCTGTCCAAATTGAAATGATTAATTATTAATATTAAAACAGATAAATATGATCACTTGGGTAATAAAACTCTCTCTCATCCTGGACGCAGCCCGTCCTGCCAGCTCCTCTTCAACGTCTCACTACAGACAATAACATCACCTCTGCCTGCCTCAGTCTCCATCTTAGCTTTTCATCTCTGAGGTCGTCCTCGTCTCTCTGTTACATGTAGCCAAATTCCCCCAAAGTCCCAAACCACGCTTTGACAATTATGAAATTCAGCACACATATGGGATTTCACAGGATCTTTAAAAAAGCCTCTTGAACCCATAGTCCAAATCCAACAGGATGTCGGCCATTTAGGATCAAAGCCACCATTTTGTCTTTTTTAAACATTCATCTGAGCAAACTTGTCCCACAGCTTTTCACATACAGACTTCAAAATCACTTAGAGTCTTAAGGCACTGAAGATCAAAAGTTATCAAAATTGTTGGTAACACTTTATTTGAAGGGGTGTGCATAAGACTGACATGATACTGTCATAAACATGACATAACACCTGTCATGAACACAAAGGAGTCTTTATGAATGTTTATGACAGTTGTCATGAAGTCTCATTTGGTAAATAATGACAAGTTTCTCTAAAAGTTGCATTGAAAGTCCACTAAAAGTGCCAACTTTGCATTAAATTATCATAATTTACAAAATTATACAAAGTTGGCATTTTAATGGACTTTCAAGTCCATTAAAAGTGGACTGCAAGCGATGAATGGACTCATTAAACCCTAAACGTTGCACCCCATTTCCCTCCTGGAGATCCACCTGGGATTACTTTATTATGTCTTTATACAGGTCATGATGGAATGTGAGGGATTATACTCAGAACCTTTAGAACAAGTCCAGTAGTAATCTGGATATCAGCTGACTACTAAACAACCAAACTAAAAATTGTAATTCAGTGATAAAAATGCAAAGAAAAGCAATGACTCTATTTAAGACAATTGTAGCAAGTCTTTAACAACAAATGAAGAAATTTTTAGGGATTAACCAGAATTGTCTTGCTTATGTTGATTATTTCCTCCATGTTGTTCTTCAGATCCTCATCCAGCAGCATCTCTCTCAGTGAGTCCTGACAGAGAGCAACACTTCACCACTGAGTCTGTGACACTGAACTGTGGAGGAAACTCTACTGAGTGGAGAGTGAAGGAGTATGGAGAAAACTATGATGGGTTGAGCAGTTTTTGGGATGAATATGATAAAATGACCTCGGGTCGCCAGTTGTCAGATTACTCCAACTCATGGGAAATGACTGGATCCTCATGTACCATTAAGAGTTACTGGTACCATGAAGCAGTGTTCTGGTGTGAATCTGAATCAGGAGAGTTCAGCAATGCAGTTAACATCAGTATAAATGGTAAGTTATGTTACAGAGTTATTTAAAATGAAGCCAATAGATTTGGTTCAATTCTTTAATGTATCTCTTCTTTTAATAAGGACCATCAGTGAATGTTTCTAGCAGAATAGTTAAACTGTTGTGTGGAAAACAGCAAAAAAAAATCTATTCTACACATGGAGTTATAATTTATTTGAAGATATTTTGACATATTAAACTTATTAAACCAATTCTTGGTCTAACAGATGCACCAGATTCCATCCTCACTGTGTCTCCATCATGGCTGAATCCTGGAGCCTCAGTGACTCTGAGCTGTGAGGTTAAACCTTCATCTGCAGGATGGAGGTTCTACTGGTATAAAGCTGTTCCTGATTTCTCAACAAATTACTACAGATATGATCCACTGCCTGGTAGCATCAGTGGGACTGTAGAGAACTCATTTAGGATTGATGGACAGAAACACACAGCAGGATTTACATGTAGAGCTGGAAAAGGAAACCCAGAGTATTTGACTGATTACAGTGAACCAAAGTTCGTCTGGACTTCAGGTCAGTTATGTTTATTTCATCTCAGCTAAAGTGTGATAAGGAGATAAATGAATTAATCTTATTTTGATATGAGACCCTGTTCCAGTTAATGAATCAAGAATAACACAGAATGCATTCTGACATTATTTTATTCAAGGGGCAAAGAAAAGAATGAGCGTTCGAGACTCTCGGCAAACCCATGAGTAAAGAAAGAAATAACTACATCACTCTTTAATATACAACATTTAAGTAAGCCTGGGATTTCCCATCAGCTTAACAAAGAAGACAGTCTTTTCACATCTCCCACACAGCAGCTGTGTGACCTTGGACAATGGTTCATGAGTTCAAAAAGACAATAACAACTTCTCAGAAAACATCTGTTGTCAGCTTCCACTTGACCAGTGAATAAGCCAAAGTTGTTGTTTTTTTCACCACTAGTGTCATCATCTTTATCCATCCTAGTTTCATGTGCAAACTGCAATGGTAATTACCATCAATGCTCCACACGGCTAATTCAGGGTTGCCTAATTGCTTGCTCTCACAAGGCACTGCTTTGTGATAACAAAGTTCCTTCTAACCGCAGGTTCCATTTAGGATTCAGCCTCATATATCCCTCCATCCCACCACCCTTCCCCACAGCTTCTCTCTTGCGGTCCCTCGTGTCAACTCTGACACTTGAGTACCATAAGGAACCGTTGCAGCGTGACGTCACATGCACAAGATCCCACCCCCCTTAGGAGGGTAGAGGAATTTTAATATCAATCCGATACCAAGAAAATGCAGGGCTGGTACCGCCGATATCAATATCGACCAATACTTTTTTTCATATTTAAGCTTTATAGGTTCAATGGATCCAAAAGACTTAAGATAGAATTTCACCAATCATCATACATGACAATCTACATTTTTGCTTAGAAATAATGGGACAGTAACAAAACAAAGTTTCCCTTACTATTAGAAAAATAAATGTTTTTTTTAGGTAAAAAAGGAGAAATACAAAATTAAAATAAAAATTCTCCCCTCACTAGACATCCTTTCTGATTCTCTCTTAATATTCAGTGCAAGTATCCGACGTCTTCTTTGAAGGGGGCGATAAGGGACCCAGATAATAGGTTGGCGCTGGCCCAAAAAAGGTGGAAACACTGCTTTAAGCCAATTAATTTTTTAACAAGCTCCATTTAGCATTATGGATTCTATTACATGAATAAATTAATTCATAAACAGCTTTTACCATCTTATCTTTTTAGTTAGTGCTTTAAATGCAATACCGTGACCCCTTTTCTGAGACCTTTTGTACTTAACTATCAAAATAAGAACATATGAATTGGCTTTTAACTATTTAAATTGCTTTTCCTATTTCAACTCTCTGTTATTCCTATGTCAATTTGATATAGTATGGTCTTCCGCACTTCCCATATCTGCTGATATCACTTTTATCAGCAGTTAAAACTGTTTAATCCGATGTTAACATGTCGTAACCTGTTTTTCCGAGCCGCCTTTAAACGCAACATGAGCGCTACGACACTCGCGCTGGGTTTACACCTGTGAAGGAGACCTGCTGCTGCTGTGTGGAGCTACGCACACAGTAAAAATGCCAGTGTTGAATTAACACCCAAAAGTGTCTAAATGTGTCCAAGTCAGCTGGTGTTAAATTCAACATTACAGAGTGTCACAGTAAAATTATAACGGTGTTAGTGTTAAAATATATTAAAAGTAACATCAGTGTTGATCACAATGGGGTGTTAAAAATGTAAATAATTAACCCACAAGGTGCCAACATCAATCAAATCCAGTGGAAAATATTGAAAGCAATACACAGAAATGGAAAGTTTAACTTTTCTTAAACCCATTTCAGTATGATAGACCAATGTTAATTTAACAAAAAAAAAAAAGGGTGCCAATCTTTTAACACTTTCAAAAGTGTTACTTTACTTTATTGCTGTAAACAGTTTCAAATTATTAAGAGGGTTTGTTTCATTACCTTTTGAGATCTGTTTAAAGTCAGAGCTATGACATTTCTTTCTCTAGACAAAGGAGACCAAAGGCCATTTTACAACAAGCTTTTCTCTTGCCACTTTGAAATCTGGATTCTCTCCCAGTTTTTCAGTTGAACAAAAGATTCTTATTTTTACCAGAGTTCACCGGAAAGTTATCTTGAGTTTTATTACCCCGCCAAGAAATTCATCCAAAAAACACATTAAGTTTATCCAACTTAATTTATTAAGTTTAACCAATTCAACATATTATAATCATCCAACTCAATTTGTTAATTTTATTTAACAAATTTAAGATAACATATTTAAGTCGCTTCCTCAAATCATTTATTTTCTTCTAATAAACATTTAAAACACCTGGTAAGCGACCGTGGCTCTGTGGGTAGTGAAGTCATCTTGTGATCGGAAGGTTGTAGGTTTGATTTCAGCTTCTTCCTGCCACAGGTTAATGTGGATATCGATGTATAAATTTGTGAATGAGAATGGGTGAATTTGATTCTAGTGTAAAGTGCATTGAGTGGTCAAAATGATTGGAAAAGTTCAGTCCATTTTTTGAAGTAAACTAAATGATTTGAGTAAGACTAACTTAAAACCCATTATCTTAAACATACTTAATAAATTTGTTAAAAAAAAATGTAAAAAAAAATAATCTGCATTATTAAATTTAAAAAATATATATTTTCGTTTTAGAGTGTAGAGCCTGGTGGGGCAGAGTGGTTCAAACCTCCTCTTCAACCTATTAGATTAGATCAAAACGCAAATTTTAAGAATTAACACACTTATATAGTATACCTGAACATTTTCAATACAAACACATTTCATTCCATACATTTTCTAATTAATGTTCTACTAGTTTTGATTATAAGTTTGACTAACTGATGTTACAGTTTAGCCTGAGTTAGACACTACTAGGGCTGTTAATATAAGACTACAAGCTAATTTTAACTAAATGGTGTTCTACTAATTAAATTGCAATTATTGAAAGTATTATGTGTTGTTAGTTATTTTTCCTTAAGTTTTTAGTGTTTTCCTCTCCTTGTGGGCGATAACTTGACATGACTCCTCCGCTGCCTGCTAGCTTGAGACAGAGTTCATTTATGGCATGACTCCTCCCTGATAATAGTCTCTCCTGCAGGCCTCACTTAAAGCTCTTTAAGATGTTATTCAAACTTATCAATCCACTATTTTCACATGCCGATTAACTATATTAATCGTAGAATTATCAAATTTGTGTCCTCAACAGCATATGTGTGTGCATATATATATATATATATGTATATATATATATATATATATATATATATATATATATATATATATATATATATATATATATATATATATATAGATATAAAATTTTATTTAAATAAAAAA